CGAAGGAGGCCCCTTAGCCTCCAGATCCGTGGCCTCCCCAGGCCAGAGCTCAGCCCGTCATCCTTCCCACCTTCTTCCTCCCTGCAGCCCCCCAGAGTGGCGTGGTTGCCTCTGGGCACCTGAGCAGGACTGTGAAGGGTTACTCGGGCAGGCGGCCTTTCCCTGCTCTGGGGGGCACAGACGGGACCTGAAACTGTGGACGGAGGCTGGTCTGTGGACGTGGGTTTTCCTTCCATGGAGTAGCCTGGGTCCAGGATGGAGCCGCTCTGTCCTTAGGCTTGTGGAGGATGTGTGCTGGGTGCCAGGCCAGGTGCCCCTGGCAGAGCTCAGCCTCCCTGGGAGGTGCATCCTTGTTGCCTGGGCTTCCGTCCCACCATGTCCCAGTTTGGAAAGGGATCAAGCCAGCCAACTCTATCTCCAGGCAGGTACCACTCACAGGTGGTCAGATGGGGCTGGGCCAGAGCTGGAGGTCCCCCCTCTCCTGTGGAGGGTGGAGACTCTGGGGAGGTTCTTAGCGCCCCCCATCCCTCCTCTCTCAGCAGGGGGCTCTGGGCTGCGAGATCTCTGGGTGGTGAATTTTTTTTTTTTTTTTTTTTTTTTTTGAGATGGAGTCTTGCTCTGTCGCCCAGGCTGGAGTGCAGTGGCTCGATCTCGGCTCACTGCAACCTCCACCTCCTGGGTTCCAGCAATTCTTCTGCCTCAGCCTCCCGAGTAGCTGGGACTACAGGCGCCTGCCCCCACAACCAGCTACTTTTTTTGTATTTTTGGTAGACATGGGTTTTGCCATGTTGGCCAGGCTGGTCTCAAAACTGATTTCAGGCGACCCGCCCACCTTGGCCTCCAGAAATGCTGGGATTACAGGTGTGAGCCCCCGCGCCCGGCCTGGGTGGGGAAATCGGTTCGTTGTGAATTCTCCACCAGGTAGTCTGGTGGCTCAGAATCTGACCCTGCCGCCTTCACTTTTACTTACCTGCAAAGTGCAGGCTGGGACTGGCTCTCAGAGGCTGCCTTGAATTCCAGAAGGCTCTTCTGCTTCCTGCCCACCCGGCTTCCGGGGCTCTCCCTGCAGAGAGCCAGGTCCTCCCTGGTGCGATCCCTTCAAGGTTTCTTCATTCTGTGGCCCCTGTGCTGCTGAGCTCCCAGCCCTGAGCTGGCATGGAGCCCCCCCGGCCCTTCCCCATGCCTGGGTGGCTTCAGGAAATGCCAGGAGCTCCCAGCCCTGAGCCAGCACGAGGCCCCTCAGCCCCTCACCCTTGCCTGGGTGGTTTTAGGAAATGCCAGGCAGTGCCAGGTGCTGGGGAGAGAAGAGGCGGCAGGGGCCTGTGTTCCAGAGGCCCTGGGGAGACCTCCCTCCAGCCTCAGCATCCACCTCTGCTGACCTTCATGGCCCCGAAGCCAGCGTGGCAGAGACCGTCCATCCTAGGGCACTGTCACTGGGTGCCTGCACCTGTGCAGTTGGGCTCCGGACCCAGGTGACCACTGAGTGGATGCCCACGGGTGAAGGGGGTCTCGACTCAGCGCACTGGACATGGGCAAGGGCCCACCCCTAGCCACGGGGAGTAACGGGGCTCCTCTGGTGGGGTCGTTGTGAGGATGAAAGACAAGGTATATGAGACCCCAGGGGCCGTGCTCTGAATGGGGGACCTGTCACATTGAGGCCACTGTGTGAGGCTGCAGTAGAAGGAGAGGACCCCGTGGCCTGGAGGCCGGAAGCACCCCAGGTGGACAAAGGGGAGCCCCAGGTAGCGTTTCCTGGCCGGGGCTGAGGGCTCTGTGCCCCACCTGGGGAGGAGAGTGTGGCTCTGCAGGCTTGTCTGTCAGTCTGTGGGTCGCTCAAATACCCAGAGAGGGAGCAGGCTGCTCCTGGCCCTCCAGGTCTGTGGGGAGACAGGAAGGGAAAGGCCCACCGGGTGGCTGAGTGTTCGGGTGCCCTGGGAGCCGTGGCCAGAACATCCGGGAAGCTTCCTGGTGTGGTGAGCACAGCCCCAGGCTGGGGGAGGTGCTCCTGTGGGTGCAGCGGTGTGTGGGCTGACCTGGAGGAAGAAAGGGCCATAGGGGTGGGGTGACTCCTGTGGGGGGTGCGCAGGGCCTCCTGCCACAGCCAGTGGGACGGGGCGGGCTGTCCAGGCAGCTGGAGGGCGTGTGGGAAGGCGCTGGGGCTGGAGCAGATGGGCAGCTGCTGGGGAGCTGGGGTCAGGGACAGGGCCATGGAGTGTGGGGTCTGTACCACCCAAGACGTGCCAGTGGCTGAGCCAGGCTGCGGGTGGAGGGTGGCCAGGGGCCCGTGGGAGCATTTGCAGTTGAGATCCCTGGGGAGGGCTGCTGTGGGCGTGGACGAGGCTGCCTGGGCGTGTGGTGCCAGGCCGGGCCAGGTGAGGTGTCTGCTGCAAGGTGGCTGATGACAGGTCTTGGGGAGGAGGACCCGGGACTCAGGATGAGCCTGTGTCTGGCTGGGCGGTGCCTGCTCCTTGTTTTGTGGTGGGAGATTGTAGGGGAGCTGAGGCTTTGGTGGGAGCAGGCCTCGTCCAGTGGGGCAGATTCCTGGTCAGGCTGTCAGGGAAGAAGGACCGTGGTGGGCCCGGGCTGGGGGTTCCTGAGCGCGGTCAGCACGGAGCACCTGATGGGGCAGAGACAGTGACATCTGAGTCATAGCGTCTGGGGGACTTGGCGTCTTCCACTGGAGTGTGTGCACATTGTGTGAAGACACTGGCATTCTCTCATCATGTCTGCTGTCTTCATAGGACAGGTCACTCACACCCTTCCTCAGGGCGACCCCAGGCGCTGCTCTTCTCTGTGGGGCTTAAGTGTGCAGCCTGGCACTGCCCCGGCCCCTCCCTCCTGGCCATGTGACCTCAGCAGGTCCAGGTCTGTCAGGAACTCTGCGTCAGTTCCTCACCTATAAACCAGGGATGGTAACAGCCGTGCGTCCCTTGGGAAGCGTTGGGCAGCCCCGGCCTCGGCCCACTGTGTGCCAGCACTTTTTGGAACATCTTGGCACAGGGTCCATTGCTGTCCTGGGCACAGCTCCTGCTGGACGTCTGGGCCTGGAAGGCTGAGCATGGCCACCAGCGCATCCACTGTGGGCCTGGCCGGCCCCTCTCTCCTGAGGGTGCTGAGCCGAGGGACTGCTGGGTCAGCGTCTCTGACCGTGACCCACCCCTGGGCCCAGCCTCTGTGGCTCCTGTCCCCAGATGCCATATGGGGGAAGTCCTAGGCTTTGAAGGCATCTCAGGCTCCAGGGCTGCCCACCGTTCATACTGCCCTCCCTGCCTCCCCCAGGACACAGGGGAACCCTCCCCAGCAGAGGGCCCTGCCCCCTCCTCCCGCCCACCACCCATTTGTAGCTTCGGCATCTGTGGGCGGGGACCTGAATTCGTGGTGGTCAGGGTTCTGTTGTCGCCTGTTTCTGCTTCAATCTCAGTGCTGTGCGAACTTCCATCCCCTGCACTCGTTTGGCTGTAAGGACTGGAAATGCAGTTCAGATCAGCCCGGGGGTTCTCCAGCTCCTGGACCTGGCGAGTGTGATGGGGCGAGCCCAGCTGCAGGTGCGGCTGGACCCAGGGCTTCATCTCTGCTCAGACTCAGGGCCTCCCTCAGGTCACAGCACTGCGGCCGGGCAGAAGTGGGTTGCTTTGCTCGGTCTGCAGAGGGCTCTGGAGAGGAGGCCCGGCTCCCTGTGGGAAGAGTTGAGGCTCCTGCTGGTCTTGCCCATGGCTGTGCGGCCACAGGTGGCTCACTGCACCCCGGGCCTCGGTGCACCTGCCAGCAGGTCAGGGAGGGGTCCTGTGCTGCAGGCCTCTCTGGCTTGTGGTTTTGAGTCTGGTCAATTTTTCCCTGAGAGTCTGGGGTTCCATACGGCCGTGGGCGCCCCCTTGGCCCAGCTGGGTCCTCAGTTTCCCAGATCGGGGCAGCAGGTGGACGTGACCCTCACCAGGTTCGGGGGGTGATGCCTAGACCTCAGGTTGGGAGGTACAGTGGGCAGCCAAGCTGCCAGATGATGAGGTGGGCAGGTGGAAGAGGGGCTGCCCTGAACTGCCCCTAGAGGGGCCCCCCTCTGAGTTGTGCCTGCAGCATGCTGGGCCGTGGGCTCCCCAGGCCCTGTGGACGTTGGGGTGGGGCCGTCCTTGGCACTGCTGGGTGCTGAGCAGCATCCCTTGCCTCACCCACTCCATGCCGGGAGCTCCCCTAGTTGTGACAACCACAAATGTCCCGAGCATCCCCTGGGCAGGAGCCCCCAGGTGAGAGCTGCTGCCACCCCAGTTCATAGGCTGTGCCTTGGGCACGACAGCCTGGCCCTGCCGTGGAGGGCCACTGTCTCCCCAGCAGCTGCGGCTGGCCCCGCCAGGCCTGGGAGGGGTGCACAGGGCGCCCCGTCAGGTGAGAGAAGCTATTTTTAGCTGGTGAGATCAGGGGAGTGCTGGGGACACAGTGGAAGGTGAGGCAGGAAGCAGCAGGATGGGCTGTGGAGGGCTGTGCCGGTCTTTCGTAGGCAGTGGGCCCAGCTGGTGGCCCTGGGGTGGCGGCAGCACTCAGGCTGCTCCTTGCAGGGTGGGAGCTGTTGGCTGGCAGTGAGGCCTGGTGTGCTTCACTTGGTGGGTCTGAGTCCAGCCTCGTCTCTTCCCTGGTTCAGGGGGGTCCTGTGCGCATCTGAGAGGGCCCCAGCCTGCTGGCTTCATCCGGCTCACCCCTGAGGAGGTGTGGGGCAGTCACAGGCCTTGCCTAAGCCGTGGGGGCCTGTCAGAGCCAGGCTGCAGGTGGTAGAGCCCTTCCAGGGTTGGAGTGGGGTGTCCCCGGGATCCTCAGTCACTTGGGCTGCGTGAGGGGTTGGCCAGGTGTGGTCAGTGTGGGAGGGACCCGGGGTCCTCAGAGCCCAATTCGGCTTCTGGGGTTTCCTTCCTTTCCCCTGCCCTGGGCAGCCCAGCGCGCCCCACCATGTAGGACCTCAGGTGTCGGCTGCAGCGGGTCCTGGGGCACCCCACTGACTGCCGGCCGTCCCCCAGGCCCTGTTTGTGCTCTTCGTCCTGGCCTACATCCATATCGTCTTCTCCCGCTCGCCCATCAACTGCCTGGAGCATGTGCGTGACAAGTGGCCTCGCGAGGGCATCCTGCGTGTGGAGGTGCGGCACAACTCGAGCCGCGCGCCCGTCTTCCTGCAGTTCTGTGACGGCGGAGGCCCCGGGAGCTTCCCGGGCCTGGCCATGGAGCCAGGCAGTAGCCTGGACGTGGAAGACGAGGAGGAGGAGGAGCTGACCATGGAGATGTTTGGGAACAGCTCCATCAAGGTGAGCCAGGGCTGGGCTCAGCCGCGGCAGAGGCCGGTGCCCCATAAATGCTCGTGGCTGAAGGGGCAGTTCCTGACACAGACAGGATGTTGGGGTTCTTGACTTTCAGGGACCTGGCATGCAGACAGGCCTGCCTCTGCCTGCCATGGCTTTTGGTGGCCTGGGGGCTCTGAAGCCAAACCCTCCACCTGTCTCCCTGCTGGAGGCCTGGGCTGGGCAGACTCCAGCCTTCGAGAGTCCAGCTGTCCCGGGAGGGGATTGGCTGGGCCTGGGGGTGCAGTGGGCAGGAATAGCTGAGGGGCCTGGGGGCTGGGAGGTGAGAGCTCTGGGCCCATCCTCACCGTGCTGAGGTCCCCCGCTGCCTGCAGAGGTGCTGGGTGCCTGGTCAGCTTGTGGTGGCCTCGGGCACTGGTGGGACCAGGTGGCTGTGTTGGGCCCCACGGCCTGGTGGGAGATCTTTTTGCTTCAGCAGTCAGGGTTTGGGGTCCCACCTGTTCCCACAAAGCCAACCCCAAGAGTTTGAGCGTTTGGCCAGAGCATAATGGATCCCTCCATGGGGCCCACTGTCTGTGGCTGGCCCTTCCCCAGCTTCAGGACTCAGACCCACGCGTGGAGATGGCCTCCAGCAGGGCAGGCTTGGTGTTGAGGTGGGATCCCGGCTGAGGCAGGAGGCACGTGCAGTCCACCCTGGCCTGGTCGGTGATGGGGCAGAGGCTGAGGCACCCAGCCCCTTCCTGTCAGCAGGACTGCATCCTCAGGCCGGGTCCTCACAGCCTGGGCTGGCGCTGACACCCTGGTCCCTGGTCGCCCACAGTTTGAGCTGGACATTGAGCCCAAGGTGTTGAAGCCGCCGAGTAGCACAGAGGCCCTGAATGACAGCCAGGAGTTCCCCTTCCCCGAGACGCCCACCAAAGGTAGGCCACCCACCAAACGTGTGCCGCCTCACAGGGCTGCCCCAGCCATTGGGTGCTGGGGCGCAGGTGGGGTCCCTCTGGACATCCCCAGCCTGCTGGCCACATGCCCTGGACCATTCAGGGCAGCTCCGTGCCTCGACTTCCCCATCTGTCAGCACACGAGGCTGTGGGGACACCCCAGGGCCTGGGGTAACTGGCTCAGCTCATCCTCTCTGGGACCCTCTTGTGAACGGCAACTTGGAGGGGATGGGCCGCTTTGGCTGTGAGCTCGGAGTTCTGGCTGGCTGTGCTCAGGGAAGCCCCTGCCCCTGCCCATCTGGCAGCAGCAGGCGGTCTATCCAGAGGGCCGCGGCCTCTGAAGTGTTGGGGGTGTGCTGACAGGCCGCCAGGGCGGAGGGGCAGCCCTGCACCCAGCCAGCCCCAGCCAGGGAGAGGGGGCCACGGGAGGAGGAGCCTGGCCAGCCTCTGCAGCACACAGGGCGGGACACCAGCGTGGGTGGGCACCATCCCGAGTGTCCATGTCGGGTCCTCCCAGCACCCACCAGGGGCCCAGGACTCAGCAGGTGTCACCCTCTGCCCCTCAACACCTGCCTCTCCTGGAGGCAGTGGTGGGGGATGGGGCGGGGGGCATTGACCTGCCCCTGGTTCTGCCCCGAAGTGTGGCCACAGGACGAATACATCGTGGAGTACTCGCTGGAGTATGGCTTCCTGCGCCTGTCGCCGGCCACCCGCCAGCGTCTGAGTATCCCTGTCATGGTGGTCACCCTGGGTGAGTCTGAGCTGCTGGGCTGGGGGAGCTCCATGGCGGGGCCTCCCCTCCTCCCTGAGGTCTCCTCCTGCAGGTGCGGGGCTGGGGGCTGTGCAGGAAGCACTGGGGTCTGCGCCACCCCAGGCACGCTTCCCACGGCTGCGGTTCCTGAGTGGTTTCCTAAGAACGGGCAGGGCCGGGAGGCAGGTGGGGCCTCAGCGATGGAACCAGCTGGGGCAGGGCTCCCGGCTCCCTGATCCACCCGCCCGCAGACCCCACGCGGGACCAGTGCTTTGGGGACCGCTTCAGCCGCCTGCTGCTGGATGAGTTTCTGGGCTACGACGACATCCTCATGTCCAGCGTGAAGGG